TTTTTTTCAGCCTTTTCAGTTCCTTTATTCATATTCTATCATATTATAACAGTCTTTTAAAAAGCTTGCTATTTTGAAACAGAGTAGCGAACATCCTTAAGAAGATACAAATCGAGGTAAATGAGGCAATGCTACATTATATGAAAACAATGCTTTATAATATTGCTGGTTGGCAGAATGGAAATCGGAAATCAAGCGGATTATGTAAAAGAACAAATCCCGAAAAAAAGAAAGCATGCTAAACATAGTTTTGTAAAACATAAAATTGAATTTAAATAATGAGTGTAATGCGTTGAATAGCTTTGTAATAATGTGTCTAAAGTTTAATAATAATGCCATCATGTATTATCGCTTTGGTCATATCGAATATAGACGAGACCCCTCATGGGGTTGTCTAAGTAATTACATAATCACAAATTTTTTGCTGATATAATCACATAATAATCAATTATTTTTTTAAACATGATAATCAAATATTCAAAAATAAAGTCCTAGATTATCAAATAATCACTATAAAAACGGCCAAGTAATCACATAATCAAAAACTCCATGAGGAGGCTCAAAGATATAAGCTTGTGGTTATATTGGTTATAGTATTACCCAGAATAACTAAATATTGGAATTTATTTTTTTCGTATAGCTTTAATATTAGTCAAACTGGTTTTACTCTTGATGTCTAAATGTCACAAACATTTGTCAAATATATGACCTCAATGGCCGTGAAACCTGTACAACATTATTAATAATTTCATTGTTTTTCCAAACTATATGAAATGTTATGAAACAATCTAGTAAAAAATCAGTTATATTAATGACATTCGTAAAAAGCATTTATTTTCCTGTTTTCTCTAATTTCTTTTACCTTGATTAGTATCATCTAAATGGATTTTTGAGATTCGAACATCGGTGAACTATTGTTGCCTCTAATTTCTTTATTTGTTTAAAGTCCTTATTGGACAATATAAAATCTTTTATCGGATTGAATTTAATATCAGCATTTGTTACCCGTTATGCACGTTATGACAGCTTGCTATTTACACAATGTTATCCTGCAAGCAACTGTTGTATAGTGTTTAATATAGTGATTGTAGGCTATTTAATTAATTGGATTCATTGCATATTTTGTTGGAATAATTAAGGGAAAATACCAATAGAATAATTATAAAGCTGTTATTTTCTAATCAAACATTCAAACGTTATTCGAATGAAATACATTTGACAAAATATTTTTATATAAAAGCTACGTAAGATGACGAGTACAAGTTCGCCCGAATTTAAAAAAAAATATAATCTATAAAAATGGCAAAATAGAGTCAATTTATAACTCATCATAGAAACCATGACTTAAGGACCCCAAATTCAGAAAGGTTTCGCAATATACAGCTAAGGTAATCTATTCCTAGGGTAGAAAATCCTAAGTATTTCGAAAAATTCTAAGTTTTGTAAACAGTTACTTTACAGTTATGACCATATAAATGGTAATTCATGGCAAGCTGGTGACAACCTCGGGGAGGAAGCCTCTACCAGCAGTGGTATTGAACCAGTGCTTGTAAAAAAAACTCATAGATACCAGGATGAACAATTAAGTAGGTTTGGTTTGCTCGCAGTAACTTATATGTTTCTTTACTATGAAACATTTTATAAAGGTTTCATTTTCATATTTTATTTGCTATTATGTATATTGAATTTCTAACTCGGATATTGAATTGTTAAGAGACAAATGGAACTTTGCAGTTTGACAACGATAATAATACTGATCAGATACACTCTAGATCATCAATTTAGAAGGCACGATATAAACCATTTGATAGAAAAGAACACCAAGACTTTAAAAACGTGTTGGGTAATATTTGCCAGATAATTTGCAACCTAATTTATGGTACAATTACATAACTTATGAACTTGAAATTTGCATTCAAGTCGTCATTTGAAATATGCCAGTACCAAAGTACTTGCTACTTGATTGATGGCACTCTTACAGATCGATAGTCCTTCAGCAGCAGAGTTGATCCTGAAGTAGTTATAATTTTGTCAGAAATTTGTGCGCCTGACGCGTTTTTCCCGGAAAAAAAAGTACACCATGGCACGCATGAAACCAATTTGTTGGGAAGCCTGATATAAAACTAATGAGGGTACAAAACGGAAAATGTTTGACCAAAGCAGCTGAAACTATTTTAAGTCGACCTTCCTTGATGAAATGGCAACCTCAGTTGTACCATTCACCTTTTGATAAAGGCATGCATTGTTTGGTTGCTTAACATTGATAGGCAACAACTTCATCATATTTAGAGCTTAAGAAGGAAAAGGGATTTTTTTCATTCAATTATGGAAAACGTCTATGGCTTCGATCAAAGGAAGTGATAAATATTATGTCAATTGCCTAAATTTGCTAAGTACATTCACATCATCATCATTATCAATTTTTTATTGTTTTTATTGTGATTCTTTTTAAATAGCAAGACTCGTAAAGTATAGTATATCTGAAATATTGCATGCTCATAATAACATTGTATTAATGTACTGTAATGCGGAGTAATTAGGAAAAACGTTTCGCAAACACGTCGTCATATCCTGGATATTTCAAATGTTTATTTCTAAGACTAGTTTTGTATTATAATAGGAAGAACATCACAAGGTGCAAAGAGTCACTCATCATCGTCAATGTTGAATTAAATAGATCCAAATATCTATTTTACTGGCTCTTCTCATGATCAGCGTCGCCAGTAAAACTGTATTTGCGGGCATCAAATCACAAATTAACGGCGGCAACTCTTCATACAAAGTACTGTTATTTCTTAAATACATCTACAAGGTCAGCTTTCGATATTAAAGGAACAACATCAATGAATTGTTGAGCCTCTCTCAAAATAGAATGGCTTTCAGAGTATTTCAAAGATGCAGGGATAGTAAAATGTGATGAATTAAAGAGCGATAAAACACCTTGAAACCTTGTGTTTTGTCAGTTATTTTTGCTTAAAATCATTCGTGTTGCTCAGTCTTTAATTTTCTATATTGTGTTTTGAGTACTATTGTTTGTCTGTTTGTCTTTTTCTGTTTTAGCCATGTCGTTGTCAATTTATTTTCGACTTATGAGTTTGAATGTCCCTTTGGTATCTTTTGCCCCTCTTTTTGATCTCATTCCAATGATCAGATTAAATGAATCCATCATCGTATTGAGATATTAATAATTTAACACTAATTAAAGGAAATTTAGCTGCATTAATAAGAATTAATCGGATATCGGCCAAAAGGGTCGACTATTTTGTTTACTTAATACGGCATATGCATATTTGCACTCATCAATCGTATATACAGGTATTTGCGTTTCATTTCGAATACTACATGAACCATCAGTAACAAAAAAAAGTTAATACATATATGAAAAAGGTTTATGCAATTTGTTGCCGGGAAACAAATAACTAAATATGTCAGAAGTCAGTTTATTTATGGATACGGATCATTTATCTTAATTAGATATATTTTTCAGAAATTAATTATTATTAATGTGCTATTCGACTTTGACAAAACTTCTTAAAACATGTATTTTGACATTTATACATAGGTGAAGTAAGGAAAATGCTTCTATCAAATCCGAACGTGCATATTAATTAGAAATGGTCTTTTTACAAAAGTTTTTTTTCATTTGATATGTATATCAATGCAAAATCAAAAGCCATGATGATTTTTTTACGAAATTTGAAATTCTTTTAAGTAGTTAGCACAATTAGATAAAACAGTACCAAACCAGACGCGCACTTTGATAATTAATGTATCTTCAGTGACGCTCGAGGCCATTGTATTTGAAAAAAAAAACCAAATCCAAACGTTGAAGTGCTAATAAATCGAAAAGGACAAAAAGTAAATAAGAATAACATTAAAAATTAAAAAAAGTACACTAGCCAAGTCATAATGATAATCGTTATCTTAACAGACTTCCAACTTTTTTTTTTACTTAGAGGCTATATTCGATCAACGGAAACGTCATATTATTGGTAGGAAAATTAAACACTCAAATTCACCGTTTATAAATTAAGAATTGTTTAAAAAAAAACGGAAGTTCCAACTCCTTCAGGCAATGTTTATCTTAAGTGAATTTAGCAATGTATTTTGGGCCCATGTCAGATGTATAGCTAACGTCCCTGTCTTTCTAACTTTTGGCTACGAACGTTCCTGATGAAGGTAAATCAAGAAAATCGCTTAGGAAGCACGAAATGTATTAAAGTTTTATAAATCTGTACATAGCTGCTTCTTGTGATATTTCATGAACATGAAAAAAGTAAAATAAAAAAAACATCGAATTCCGCGGAAAATTCGAAACGGAAAGTCTTTTATCAAATGGCAAAATCAATAGCTCAAACACATCAAACGAATTGAAAATAATTGATATATTCCTGACTTGGTACAGGCATTTCCTTTTGTAGAAAATGGTGGATTTGAGTGAAATAATTAAGGAAACTGACTTTTTACCAAAATTCCTTTTTTTTCTTTTCTTTTGATTTGTTTATTTTTCTAGCTTTAATAATTCTTTTTCATATACGATTTTTCATGTACAATTACTCTCTAATTATTGTAAATTAATTATAAAATGGTGGAATCAAAAGTCATAAGTCGAGGAAAAATAAACAAAACCATGACAAACCAAAAAACACTTTACAAAAAAATTAAGAATGAGCAAAAAGAACCTCATTCAAAACTGGGGTTGAATCCATGTTTTCCGGAAGCATAAGTAATTCCTACATTAATTGTGCAACCCGTTGTTATTGCTTGTCAATGAGAATTAGAAATTTGAGGATCTACGAAGTTGTGATTTCAAAATTTGAATGGTATCGTCTGAATTCTTTTGATGTTGAATTTCGTACATAAAATATAAAAAATTAGGTATCAAAATTTGCTCTCAAATTTCGAGTTTCCAATATATAATCTGAAATCTCTAGTCATTGGTCTGGGAATTCGAATATTTTTGACCCCATTAGACCATCAATGATGATGAACGTTAAGTAATGGTTCATTCCAGGTCACCATTATCTGAAGGGGAAGATGATAATGTATTCAAGATAAATCTGATGCAATAATATTTCTCTAATAACATTTAATAATTAAATATAAAAATGTTGATGACGTGGTTTTTATTTTAGATAGTAATTTCAAAATTTTCGTAAGTATATGTTATAAACACGTATACATAATTCTACCTAAAATAAATAATTTACATCTGAATAGTTGTAGCCTGTTTAACAAATCAAACTTAGTGGAAGTCCATTAACTCATCATAGATACCATTTTTTCCATTAGATAACAATTTTGTATGCCAGACGCGCGTTTCGCTTACAAAAGACTCATCAGTGACGCTCGAATTTAAAAAGTTTAAAAGGCAAAATAAAGTACGCAGTTGAAAAGCATTCTATTTAAGACCCAACGATTTAAATAAAAACGGAACTATATACCATATCGCGTCTAATCGATAACATTACTAAAATGTTATATATATATACATAATGAAAAATGATATAACGAAACATTTTAATATTTGAATACATTTATTATGAAACTTAATAAAAGTAAACTGAATAAAAATAAGAAATGTTAATAATAATTCGTTAGAGTGAAAAGCTAATTTAGGTTTCACCAATTTCCCACAATACTCTTTTGATTGATAGAAACTTTCGGAGGTCTTAAAATCTGCTTGTGATGTTCATGCATAAATGTTTATTTTTACCTACAAATTCATTATGACCTATGTCTCAAGGAAAGAATATATATAAATCATGTATGATGTATGTGACAAAAGGAGTCACAATTGTAGAGGAGATATACCTTAAATAAAAGAAAAGACGCACAGTTTTCGAGACTAATTGTTTCAAGATGGAGATATAATTCAGTCACAAAGCCATGTCGGGGCAACGCTAAATATTTCTGTCGACGAAAGACATTTGTTGTACTTGACATAATTCATTACAAATATGAACAATCATTTTGAAAATTACAGATGACAATAGGCACTGTCAGTTTGTCGTAGCCAAAATTCAGTCGTTCTTTTCTAGTTTATAGAGGGTAACCATAACAATTTCTAGCCGGTTTAAACTCATTAGCAAAACAATGAGTATTACTATTGTAGGATGAACTGCGCATCCCCTTCCGAAGAACATGAGCTCACATATGTTTGTTACTTATTGCTCATTTGATTGGGGACTTTCCTTTTTGAATTTTCCTCGGAGTTCAGTATTTTTGTGATTTTACTTTTTTCTATATTGTTCTGTGTAGATTGTTTTAAACTTTTCTGTTTGTCCTTGCATTCAATTTGACACCCGTTGAAATGGCGTTTAAAGGTATGTTTGATGTTCAAAATTATAAATGAAATATTTATGACCTACATATTTTGAATATGAAATAAAAACTTTGTAAGAACGCAATTTTTCTAAACACAGATTTGCTGACAATATAGAATCGGTTTTGATTATTTTTGACTGCCGTTCAGTTACCTATTGTTGCCTATATCTACTTCGTTGGGATTCTGGTGAATAGTTGTCTTATTGGCAATAACATCACATCCGGTAATATGATTTTGTATATGTTTTTATGTTTGTATCAACCAATATTTTTCTTAAATTGGCGAATCAAAGAGTTTTAAAAAATCAAAACCAGGTTAAACCCGCCATTTTCTTAAAAAATGTATGAACCAAGTCAGGAATATGACAATTGTTTTCAATTCGTTCCGGTGGTTGATATAGTCTAACGTTTGAATTTGTCTGGTTTTATGGACTTCTCAATTTTTGAATTTATCTTGGAGTTTGGTATTTTTGTTAATATATTTTCAAAGAAACTAAGAGCAGAATATAATCAACATGTTACACAAAATTTATGTTGCTTGATATTACTTGCGTGTCGTATTTTACAAATATAAGGGATTGTGTATCTTTAATATCTAGATAATATGTTGTTGAGGTAACACTTTCCCCGATGCATCGCCATTTTGGTACCAGCGATGGAATATACATGTATGGTACGAGCAAATTGACAGAATTTATGAAACTAAGTAGTGTATTGTATAAATATGTTGTAAGAAGCAGTAAATGGAAACAAAGAGGCTAAAAGAAAGTTTAAACCAGACAAACTAACACATAGATATAAGAAGATGTGGTATGAGTGCCAATGAGACAACTCTCCATCCAAATCACAATTTGTAAAAGTAAACCATTATAGGTCAAAGTACTGCCTTCAACACGAAGCCTTGGCTCACACCGAACAGCAAGCTATAAAGGGCCCCAAAAATGACTAGCGTAAAACCGTTATAACAGGAAAACCAAAGGTCTAATCTATATAAAAAACGAGAAACGAGAAACACTTATGAACCACATCAACAAACGACAACCACTGAACATCAGGTTTCTGACTTAGAACATGTGCAAATGCAGCGGGTTTAAACGTTTTAATAGGCGCCAACCTTCATCCTACCTGAAACAATAGGGATACATCACAACATAGAAAGACACACAATAAAATACTCTACTTAAAGACGGTCGATACGAAACCTTTAATTTTCATATAAAATGAACGGATTATTGTTGTAGCGCACACGGCCAAACCTGATAAATGAAACGAATTAACACCATTACTATTTGAGTTTAAGAAAACAAACTCATCAAAATTGAGTTTAAGAAAACAAATTCATCAAAATTGAGTTGAAGAAAACAAACTCATCTGAAAATTTTAAACGCCGGACGCCTGTTTTTGTCAATTCAGACTCATCCGTGGCGCTCAAATTTAAACAGTTGGAAGGCCAAAATCAAATACTAATACGTGGTTGTAGAGCTTTAGATGCCGAAAGTCCCGAAAGGTTGTGCGAAATGCGACTTAAGAAATACATACTTTGGAAAAGGGGCCGGGGAGAAGAACAACAGCTTAAGCGTTTCGAATAACTCAAAATTTAATATACAGAAAAGTTACAGAAAAAACATATTTATGATATTTCATGTCAACACAAAAGCGCTGACTACTGGGCTGGTGATAACATCGGGGATGAAACGTCCTCAAGCAGCGGCACATCGACACAGTGGTTTCAGGCTTATAATTTGTACACCACATTCGTGATTCAGATATCATAGTCAATAAAAAAGTTATTGGAGTTAAAATAAATAATGTAAAATACGAGTCAATCCCAGAAATAATCGGTTACATAAAACAATGTTTTTATCACAAGAACTGTATCTTCTTGTACGAGGAGATTAACAGATTAAACAACATGTGTCCCATTAAAAAAACAACACATCATTGATATCTCATATTAACACAAACGTGCTAACTACTGGGCTGATGATATCCTCGTGACAAAACAACGTTCGCCAACAGCGGCACATCCACACAGTGGTTGTAAAGATTTCAGGCTTATAATTTGTTCGCCCTAAGACGCGTGTTTTGTCTACATAAAATGGAATAGGAGTAGGGACCCAATGACAGATAACAATGATAGGTACCAAACACGCCTTAATAAAAAACAAAATACTCTCTAGGTAGGCAGTCAAAAGAAGGAACAAAAATATTCATATGCACAAACCACAGGAATAGAAATTGAAACTTGAAGTGGAGACAAAACGTACTTTGATGTTACGGTATTATAAACCAGTAAGACTTCGATGACATGCTAAAGGGGTAGTAATGGACTTATCAGCTGATAAACATAATAACCTTAGTTAGACATTATGAGTGTGCATTGTTCCTTCCAATAAGAATGAACTGTTAAAGTTAAAGTTTTTTTAAAATTAAAAAAGGGGAAGTCCATAAAAACTGACAAAAACAAACACTAAATTTTATCAATCAACGGAACAAATGGAAAACAACTGTCATATTCCTGACTTGATACAGGCATTTTCCGGTTTAGATGCTAGGTAAAACCTGGTTTTATAGCTTGTTAAATCTCCCACTTGTATGAAAAGAGAGACTGATGTACAGAACTAGGACAAATTAGCTGTTAAAGTTGTCTTTCTTGTCATTAAAGTTTTAACATAATGTTAGAGAAAGAACATCTATAAGATATACTATAAGGTTGGGATTTAAAGATGAATCAATTCAGGCCAGACAATTTGATTGGGTGTTAAATCAAAAGCATCTTATAATGTAAAAATGAAGGCAGCTTTTGGAATAGCTCATTGACATGATACTCACATAGATAAACTATCGATCTTACAAGTACTAAAAGGATTTATGTAACGCGTATCAGTTTTTGTCACCTTCTAGGAGTGTCCCACAGACGCATGGAAGTATCACCGATACGCTAACAATATCACATAGCATAAGCCATCGCTTGCTGTTGTGTTGTACAAATGTTTTTTTTTTGTTTTAGTATGGTCAAATCCATTTACCAATAAAAGACATGGTGCTTGATAAATTTGGTGGAAAAGCATGGAAGGAGATTTTGTAAGTGTATCTATTAAATCATTATATTAATTACAACAACTCATCAAAGATACCAGGCGCATAATTTGGTACGGCAGACGCGCGTTTCGTCTACAAAAGACTCATCAGTAGCGCTCGAATAAAAAAGTTGGAAAGCAAATCAAATATTATGAAGTTGAACGTTATAAATAACCGAAATTCAGAAAAAGTTGTGCCAAATACGACAAGGCAATTACTTAGGGCCAGAAAAAGCTTAAAGTTTTGAATATTTCAACATTTTATAAACAGTTCATTTACAGAATATGAACATATAAATGATATTTCATGTCAGCACAAAGGTGTTGACTACTAGGCTGATGATATTAACTGAGACTAGATATTTCAAAATATTTATATCATTTAATAGCATTGAAACTGGCAGCTTATGGGGTCAATGTTTGTAAAGCTCAGAGCAATTAAAGGAAGGGTAAAATAAAATATGTCGTTTGAAAATGAATTGTCTTTCCTCAATCCTAAATGTCCATGGCTACACCATAAACCTTATCGCTATTTGACCGCAATTACTGGACATCACAAAGGTTCCCGTAAAATTTTGACGTCATAATACAAAATATCTGACGCCACAATGGAAAAGTGATTGTTGTATCACGTCAATAGTTCAAGCGGGACAGATTCTCGGGTCAGCGGGGACAGAATTTCAAATAGCGATAAGGGGTATTTACATACCTCTCCAGATAAATCTAGGGAAAATCCTGAAGAAATACACCACTGAACAATTTTCTCGATACACTCACAAATATTAAACAAATCGTTTAACTTGATCTGAATTTCCTTACATTGCAATGTTTGTTAACACAACTGATTTTACGTTACGGTTGAGAATGACCTCACGTATTTAAAGAATATTCATGACGTAGAGGTAACAGAAAAATGGAATTTTTATCACGTGACATACCTACCTGACTAACGGAATAGTGGACAATTTGTACACTTACCAAGACGCCTTTCTGCTAGTTTTTGTAATTCTAATTAAAAAAAAAACGTTTTTAAAAGAAGTTTCTTTAACAAAACTTTACCTGTAGACTTCGATTTTACCTTATTTTTTTTAATTTTTAGGCTATTTTCGATTTTAACTTTCTGGCGCGACCGATCCTTATATGCTAGTATTTACTATAATTTCCCGTACTTTTTATGTGGTCCGCTAGAGTAGAAGTACTCTCAAAGGAAACATAAGGATATCAACTATTAGTTTTCAATGTCTTCTTATTTGAAATATAGTTTATAAATTCCAAGAAGTGAGTACACATACAACACATGGAAAGAGACAAACTGACAAACAGACAAACTGACAAACAGACAAACTGACAAAGAGACAAACTGACAAAGAGACAAACTGACAAACAGCAGTCTACAAAACACTTCATAACTAAAAAACTAAAGATTAATGAAACAGAAACAAATTAATTCATTGTTACTTAGAAGATTAAAAAACGTGCATTAATGAAAACATTAGACAAACCTTTAATCATCTTAAGGGTGTATGTCATCGAACCAAGGATTACCCTATAAATGATTGCATATATTATTAAAAATGGTCATTTGTTTGCTTTTCAGAATTGTCAGTGGTCTTGACGATGAAACTGACTTTTTGGTATTTCAATCATACCCTGATGACAAAACGTTTGCTTTACTCAGAGCAGTAAGTTCTGTGTCCGGTAAGACTTAATTTAATTGAAGAACTCCGTTTGATTTAAAAATAGAAAAAAAAAGAATTGTTTTTTTTTCCATATTTTGAACCGCATTTGAAGTTTCTTTATGACCATAGATTGCAAATGATACGATTGTTAGAGTAGATTTGTTTTCGATGGTGGGATGCGATTGGAAAAAATTGTAGATTGAAGTATTTCCTTATATTGCAATAATACCAGAAAAAAAATATTCATAATCCAAAACTTATCCAGGAGAGTTCACTTGAACAGACTGAAATTTTACTCACAAATCATCCATTCAAAATTCACCTTAGTGTGAAACCTTTTTGCGATGACTTGTTCTATATTCTTTAATAGATTTTTCTGGCGTGGTTGCTTTCACAGGTACGCCTTATGATACAGTTCTAGAAGAATTTGGAGATTATTTTGTCCAGTACTGCTTCAGACATGGTTATGATCAACTGTTGCGGACACTAGGAAAAGACTTTATATCATTCATCCAAAATCTAGATAGTCTACATTCTTACCTGGCACGTACCTACACTCAGCTTCGCTTCCCGTCATTCAGGTAAATAGATAAAATACAGAATGCACAATCGAGATACTTACATAGTGTTGCGGATCTCATTTATAAGTCAGATCAAAAGATGGATGTTTGCACATTCCAAACTTTCCTGAATCATTCCGATCTCATAATATATATGTAGTACTCTAAAGTGCGATGGTACTCTAAAGTGCGATGGTCACGCTAAAGTGCGACGGTCTACGCTAAAGTACGATTGTGTCTCACGCTAAAGTGCGATGGTTGTTTGTTTGCTAAAGTACGATGGTATATCACGATAAATTGCAATGAACCAATAGGGTAAGGTTCGAGGGCTTAAAACAGCAAAGTATATTGATGTTAAAAAAATAGTATTTTTGCAAAAGCTAGTATGCTAAGGTATAACATATGTGATAGGCTTTATAATTTACCGGTAGGCTGAAGTGATTGTTTCTAAATTTAGAAGACCGACCACGTAATAATTGCTGAAAAGGTAATTTAGGTGTCACAAAATACTATATTTCCTGTAAATGAATTTTTAACAATTCGGGCGTATCAAATATTTGGATAATTTGTGTAGCTTGCCGTTCAATCAGTCTTTCACTAATGTGCGTATACTATTTTGTATCTATATGATCCCATATAGTAAAATGGTCGACTGCAGGATACAAGTCTTGCATCCAGCACCCGAAAAAAAAAACCACATTTGCTTCAGCCGACAAAGCACGGTTAGGTTTAAATTAATTAAGTCATGGATATTTGGTTTAAAAGTTGTTAATCATTCATCTTTCAGTATGATTATTTTTGATTTGTATGAACGACTGTTAACGTCATAATCCAACTACGTTTCTTACGTCTATACTTTTTTCCATCGTACTTTAGCGTCCCCATCGCACTTTAGAGTCCTACATATATATTGCATAATTAGGTCTAAGTGCAAAAGGTTTATATAACACGTAGATTAATAACAGTAACAACCCATTTTAATGAAATTGATATTGACGTCACATCGGTATTTTAGTAACATTTACTACCACTATATATTTGATATGACTTCTGTAGGAATCCCCATCCAAGGGTATCATCAAGTCAGAAATCTATGAACCGGAATTGCCATAATTAAATATATGGATTTTGACAGATTCTCAGCTGTACAATATCGATATGTTAACAAAAACTTGAGTTGCAACATCCTGAAGCAGAGTTAACAAGTTTAGAAGTTCCGTTTAGACCAATTTTGGTTAAATATAAGATCCCTATGTATATATTTATCATCTTCCGGCCATTAGCGCAATATCCAATCAAAGAAACAAGCACACAGACTAATCCTTCTGTGTTAATTAATTTCATGTATTATATTTTATCCCCCTCCCCAAATATTTTTGTTTTAAAAATCTGTGACTTATTTCTTAATATGACATTGACATCTATCTTTGATTTAGATGTGAAAGAAGAAATGCTGATTCTGTGAACTTACATTATCTTACAGAAAGGACAGGTCTCCATCCACTTGTTATAGGTTAGTTCATTTGTGACAAAACAATAACCAATGAAGAGTTTCAGTAAGGGAGCTGCCATTTGATTTTTATGGGGGGGGGGGGGGGGGGGGGGGGGGGGCTAGGATGAAAAATTTTGTCCTGCATTTTTTTTAGTTGTAATCTCTGTCCTGCCTTTTTATTTTTCACTCTATTCGGTCCTGCCTTTTTTTTTTTAGTTTATCCTGACTTTTTTTTACATAAATTGTCATCCTGCAAAGTGTCTCATCCTGCCTTTTTTTTTACTCAAAACTACTGTCCTGTCTATTTTTTTCAAATTTCATCCTAGCCCCTCCCCTCCCCCCCCCCCATAAAAATCAAATGGTAGCTCCCTAAGCATTACCTTTTTTCGAGAAATCAAATGCCTGATAAATAAAAGAAACAGCTATATTTTCAAATGCAATAAATGGTTTTCTTTAAATCATACCTATTAAGACTCCTTACTTTACAATTGGATATAGAATAAACGATGTTGTATGAATACCAATGAAACAACTTTTCACTAAAAAAAAATTAAAAAAGACAAGGGTGTAAAAAGTTGACGTAAGGCCTAAAACAGTGAGCAAAACTCACACCGTATTGTACATGAAAGCTATGCAAGATCCGGAGACAAAGTGAAACAATATGACAGAAAAAAAAAACAAAAAGCCGCATTTAAGCTTATATCCTTAAACGAAACACAATTATTTCAGACATCAACCAACGACAGCCACTGAACTTCAGGCCCCTAACTTAAAACAACAGGGGAACATAAAGAATCAAGAGTAGTTTAACATGTCTGAAAACGCTTAACACTTTTAATTTACGTAGAAAAGTAGTATTACAGCACTACATTACAAGACACTATAAGAGTTAGTAGAAAAAGACTAGGCTTATGCAATCAGCACTTTAACAACGAACAAAAATACAAAAGACATAAATTAGGGATCTAAGAGTTCTGAACTTGCAATTATTGAAACCTAGTTTGAAGCCAAACTGATAGATATACATGTTTCCCGAGCTAATATATCAATTAGTATACTAAATCATAAGTGGTAAGACGCCATAAGCAGTCGAAAAAAGAATGATCTTGTGTAATGTCAAAGTATACGTATAGACAAGATGAATGTATTTGAATAAAATGGCAAATTCAACACACTCTAATTCCAAAATGAACGTAATCCTAAATTTAAATGACAAATTTGATATAAGTCTTTTGTATGAAGATATCAGTGTAATGTGAGTATGCAATTGATTAATCAAATAATGTTAAAATTCTGATATGTCTGTAACATTTTAATCAACTTAGGAATTTCATTCTCAAGTTACTGCTAAGTAGTCAATGCTTTAATACTGACATGACTTTAACATGGTATTCCAAATTTTCACTTTGAAAAATGAAGAAATCATTTAGAAACTGAGGTTCAAGCTCCGTCAGGCAAAGTTGACCTTAGATGAATTTTGTTATTTCATTCTTGCAGCTCCTAGCATTTCTACGTATTTACACATCCCTGTTAGTCAAATGATTTGGTTTGAGCGTTCCTGGTGAATGTAAATTTTTCGGACGCACGAAATTTATAAAGTGCTATTTTCAACTAGCACTGAGCCGCGACCACTGCTCATGGACTGTTGTTCTCCCAGGGTATCGTCAACTCAGTAGTCAGTGCTTCTATACTGATATGAGTTATGAAATATAATTCTAAAATTCCTCTTTGCTGAATTTAAAAATCATTAAGAACCTGTAGTTCCGAGACCCGAAGGCAAAGTTTACCTTATATGAATTTGGTTAGGCTTTAGGTCTCATTTGGTCATATATCTCTTAACGTTTCTACGCATTTACACATCCCTGTAGACGTTAAATGTTTCAGAGTTCCTAATGAAGGTACATCCAGAAAAACGCTTCGGACGTACGACATTTAAAACCTTTATTTTCATTATCAATTTTTTAATGGAATTCTAATAAGGTTTTATTCTTTGTTCTTCCTTTTGTTCAATTTAAGCAATTCGTATTGCTTTAAAACACATAAATGGCTGGTTTATTTTTAAAAAATCATGTAAAATACCAGTTTTATAATTTTCCAGATGCGCGTTTCGTCTATATAAGACTCGTCATTAAATTTGATGAATACATGATTTTGTTTAGCAAATGTACATTTACTAGTTTGTGTTTTCACTGCACCGGTGGTCATGCTAGCCACTAGTGAGTTCGATCACCGGTCGGTATAAGTAAGTAAGGAAAAAACAACAACCCATATCAAAATAAGAAGATGTGGTATGATTGCCAATGAGACAACTCTCCACAAGAGACCAATAACACAGAAATTAACAACTATAGGTCACCGTACGGCCTTCAACAATAATCAAAAGCCCATACCGCACAGTCAGCTATAAAAGGCCCCGAAATGACGAATGTAAAACAATTCAAACGAGAAAACTAACAACCTGATTTATGTACAAAATAATAAACGAAAAACAAATATGATATACAGCAACAACCACTGAATCACAGGCTCCTGACTTGGAACAGGCACATATAGAATGTGGCGGGGTTAAACATGTTATTTGGCGCCCAACCCTCCCCTAATCCTGGGACAGTGGTGCAACAGAACATTACAAGAACTGTACAAAACAATAAACAAAAAACACATAGTTACTTATGAAGTTAAAAGAGGAAGAAGATATAATGTACCAAGGAATTTCAAAAACCATAAGTCGAAGACAAACCATCGATGATACCAAATAAACGTTGATGCACGACAAATTAAAAAAAATAATCCCACATTTCTGAAAGTAAGCAAATATTTTTTTACAGCTTTTAAACACCATTTCACACATAATTTGATTTCGTCGTGATTTGAGTAAAAATGTTTGAAATTAGTAAGAGGCCATTATATCTTTTAGGCATTAGTATATTACTAATATAAATTGTATAACAATTATCTAGTTTCTTGAAATAAGACTTAATTTTCACTATATTAACTCCGTCTATGGATCGATTTTTTACAAGAACAAAATATTCCAATATGTTTTAAAAATCCGATGCCAAATGCAATCATCTTTTTTCAATTAAGTCCCTATCAAAACACTATGTAAAATTAATCAGATTAAATCTACATAAATTGATTCAGACATTGTGACAGGCTATTTTGAAACGTTTGAGTTTTAACATATTCCTCTTGTTTCCAAGGTCTTGAATAAGATATTAACTTTTTAAAGCATCATACACACATCTCTGTGTAGAGTTAGAATGATTATGGGTAAATCCGTTGTTAGTAAAAAAAATGGAAATAAAGTATTGTCAGAAGTCGACTATCCATTGCTTTAAACGTTACAATGTTTTGATGTACGCTTTTAGAAATATTACCCAGAGTGCAAAGGATTCTGAAACGTAAAATTTCATTCAAAAAGAAATCAGTTAAGTGAATATTAGAATATTAAAATTACAAAAAAATGTATGTTCAGTCTTTATGCTAAGAATGTTTTATCGAATTGTTGTTGATTTTTCGATTAATTATTCCTATGTTGTGTAAACCATCTTGTTTAAAATTTTTGCAGATCCGCCAATTAAGAAAGAAATTACATCGGAATTTTTTCCCGAAGAATACGTTTCAGAATATTTCTAAATTAGTTGTTAAGTATTGTCCGTCAATAACTTTATAAAATAAACATTTAAAAATTTGTGTTTGTTAAACAAGAGCGTTTCAATAACTTTTTTATTTAAGCAAAGCTTCTAAAGGGTTTAATTTCTAACTTATATTATGAAGACTATGAAAAGTGTTTTCTTTTGAATTTTCACAATTATTTTATGAAAAATACAAACCAGAAATTCAGAACTTTTTTAGTTCTAAAAAGGTCATTATACATAATCATAATTGTCTAACTCCATAACGAATTAGCTTAATAACATTTTCCAAAATGACATGTCTTTCAAGTAATACTAATTTCGTATATAAATGTAGGTATTGCCAAAGCAGTTGCAAGAGACATATATCACCAAACAGCAGAAATGGAAGTAGAAAGCATATCAACGCATGAAAGTGATACCGGAAGTGAGAGGGAACATGTTGTTTTCATTGTACAATTTAAAGATTTATCCGAAAACGAAAAAGTAGTTGTAAAATATGACAAACAACCATTTACAAGTGTGTTAAGTGTCAGTCATATTTGTACTGCCTTGCCATATCATATCGTTTTTGACGAGGATTTACAGATTAAACAATACGGAAATATGATATCAAAACTACTTCAAACTAATCTACCACCGAACACCTGTATGACGTCATTATTTTCTATTATGCATCCACCAATGAAATTCCTGGTAGAAAATATTCTTATGTTCAGTAATAGTGTTTTCTATCTGTCTCTGAAGAAAACAGACAGAACAGATAATCCGCTTATTTTAAGAGGTTAGTATACTCTTTTCCAGCATTGCCGTTAGTATAAGTATAAGTATAGATAAATATATATGTATAACGCAAATTTGCAGATCTAAAATTATTGAGCTAAATTTGAGACGAAGTATATATAAATTATGGTGTTATTCCTGTATTACCACGGTTATCCGATGGAGAACGTCTGTCGTAAAGTTTTCACATATCTAAAAGTATGTATACACACTCACATATATATATTAGAATTAGGAGCTGTTGTTTTTTGGCAAATGGTATAAGTCGAACTTCCCCTAAAGACCAAGTATGTGAACATTGATTAATCATTGCACGGCATTCAACAATGAGCAAAACCCATACCGTAGATTTAGCAATAAAAGAATAACGCAATTTGAAACAATTCAAAAGAGAATATCAACTGCCTTATTTATGGTAAAAACAATAAACGAAAAACACTAATTGCAGACAGCAACCTTTAACAACCTTTCAATATGGAATATTATATATAATTATTTTTAAATGATCTGTGTGTATATTTGTGTGTGATTTTATGAATTATGGGACATGCATGGGACATTTATTTCTGTTGATGTTATCTTTTAATATCATTTGGTCGGAATCAAATAATAGTTAATACTTGTATAGCAAGATACTTAATCACCATCCCATGCTTATGTAACTGGTACATCTCCGTTTAAAAATCAATCACTTCCAACTGTTCAAATTAGACTTTTGGATATTACAGACCTTTACCATCATATTAACCAAAACAACATTTTTGAACATTATCATTCGGAACAAGATAGACAAATTGCCGTCATGTGTCTTATATCATTCAAGACAATTGAATGGTTAGGGATGTACGTACATTACCTTGATATAAAAAGTAAAACAATAATCTACATAAACAATTATTAAATCTGAATATGAAACTTTTACAAATATTTGACTTTTGATAGGATGTTTAAGCATTCGTGAAAATATTCAGTTTATTGAGGCATACAAATCAGCCCAAATACGAAAAAAAACCCAACCATTTCATTGAAAAGAGAGGCTAAAGATACCAAAGGGATATTCAAACTCATAAATCAAAAACAAACTGACAACGCCATGGCTGAAAAAGAAAAAGACCAACAGACAATCAATAGTACACAAAACACAACATAGAAAACTAAAGACTGAGCAACACGAACTCCACCAAAAACTGGGGGTGATCTCAAGCTAAGTCGGAACAGATTGACAGTTAGTTTGAAAATTATTTGCTTGTGATATCAAACTATTGTATTTTTACTACACGGCAGATTTGTATTTTTAATCAAGTTTATACATGTTCTAAACTTGATAAACATCATGCAAGCACATTTATATAAACAGGTGAAATGATGTGGTTAGCTGAAATTAAGCATATGATTTATATTTGCTCACCAAGACTGACAAGCCTATCGGAACTGACGAAATTAAACATGTACTTGTCGGATATTCCTTTATATGATGTTACAAGGGAGCTAATTCTGCTTAATCAACAACGAATTGCTGAGATTGACATAGCGTAAGTTTATATGAAATAGTCGATGTATCCTGGGACTGTTAGTATAATAGTCCCAGATGTATCTTTAAAGTTGCTTCTGATTGAACACCATTAAAATATTTCTTGTCATCAGTTTCAATGATTTTCTTAAAAAATAACACCTATGAAAAATTTGATATTGAGTAAATTTAGACAATAGTCATTTTTACAGAGGATGACCTTGAGGTCACTCCGATGTATTGCTATCGCCTAAATTTCCATTATGCAAATTAGTTTTGGGATTTCAACCGATCTATAAAAATTATAGATCCGCGGTCATTACAAGGGAAAAAAGTGCATTTTTATACCTGCGATTCCGTTCTCCGTTCGTACGATGTTTCATCAAAAAATGGAATCATTTCAGTTGTTGATTTAGTACTGAAAATTTGACTGAATTATCTCCTTATTAAATACGGTTTTATATGTTTAAGAAAGAGGTCAGGTGCTCATGTTCATTCATAAAATTATCGTTCATTCATGAATTTATCGTAAAATCAAAATCACTACACAGGTCACACAGGTTGTATACGTAGTGTCAAAAGATTACCTGTATAGTATCTAAAAATAGACAAACTTAACTGACTCCCCTTACTGTAGTGTGTGGTAACATTTTGTGAGGGAATTCGATGTTTTCTATACCACTGTTCATTTCAACGCACTTTGTGACGATACCACTTTATCAATATGAATGAATTTTTTTGCAGTGTTTTAAGAAATAATTTTACTTTAAAATCGCGTATCATTTGTGAACTATTAAATGTTTTACAAGGACGAATTTTCTGTATAAAGTCAATAATTGTGTGAACTTTTGAAGCCCAAACTTTTTATACGCTAATGAAAGATCCGAAAACTATACCCATACAGAACGACATGTTTTTGAAATTGTAGCAAAACTTTTGGTTGACAAATTTTAATTCGTTATTGCATAAATATTAACTTGAAATATCTGTCATTTTCTCCCTACCCAGTTTACCTCTATTACTCATTATGATGTGGACTTGACATTGTTATTGAATCTTATGCAATTTGATTGGATTAAGTTATTATTAGATTACCTTCAAACTGTTCATGCTTTTTCGTACGAGTATATTGATTAAATCAGAGCGTGCATGAATGTGTACAGAAAATTAAATGACCTGCAAACTGGACACTGGACCAGTCCATATTACGTTTTATCAATGAATAGATTTTTTGTTTATTTCCCAAATTACAGGGCCCATAAAGGGCATAAAATCATATACAATTGATTTACATAATTGGTAACAACAACAATAATAGCGGCATATAAATAGATATTTAGTATATAAGCATTGGTCAGAATCAGATGAACGAAACTTAAGGTATGAAAGGTAACAATTGCCACTTTTTATCTTTTCACATAATTTTCCACATACACATTAGATAAATTATTTTTGATAGCCTATTGCGGAGAAAAAAGAGAAAGTTTACTGTATTAACGTTCTATTCCATTAAATACGCCATTTTTCGAAGATAAATGCAGAAAAACATTTATGAACGGCTACGCCAGGTAAAATTGTTGTTTATCCTAAAAAAAAATACAATTTTCAGTTTCATTAGAATATTATAATAATAATAAATCCCAAATTTATGTAGTCATTAGATAAAGTCCTTATATGTCCGATCTGCCTATTTTTGGACATCAAAAGACAATACGATCGTTTTAAGGTCAATTTCGTCTACCTCACACAATCTTGTTAGGCACTATAATGAAATGGACCTGAAATTTATTTCACATGTTTCCTGAAAATTGATAAATATCAAAGCAACATAGAGCTGTTTGTTCTAGTTCGTATAATGACAATTTAATGTCATGTTTGTTTGTGATGACCCCCCTTTTCGGGATTGCATCAGAATTATAGTTATCTCGTAACGCATGAGAATGACACATGTCAACTGAGCAATTATGTTTGGGACTTAGTTTTAAGAAATGATGTCAAAGTAACATTATGAAAAAATTTTTAGTAAGCTGAAATATATATTTATTTTTTACATGTTTATGTCTTGTAAGATATTTTATTTCTGTCCCGTTTTTCAACATTTGCGTCTGGAAAGTTGAAATGTTTTAACTGAATGGTTAATTTAAATTAATTATGAAAATGGTTAAAATTAAATCAATAAAGGAAATTATTGCTCAGTTACAAACACTACCAGGGGATAATCCATAATGATTTTTTTTTCAGTTATATGTTTCAGCACATGTATAATTAACCCCAACTTTAGCCTGCTAAACTTGTTGTCTCCTTGTAAAATATAAAACATATTTAAAATGATTTCCTGCTAAAGTCTTATATTGATATAAAGTTAAAACCGTCTTGCTTCTCACTAGTCAACACTCCTGTCCTGTCAGGTTTAATTCTTATATATATATGGATGAAAAATAAAAGTCCACAAAACATTAACATGGCAGCAATTGCTTTTACAGCCTTTAAGACTTTGACTTTTTTTTTACAGAAGAGTGTCCACCATGCACTTGCATTACACTATAATAATAGTAGAATAGTATGATATACAAATAGACGAAAATTATATATACATGCAACCGTATATATTAATATAATATATAACAACAAACCAGTGTATTCTCTGGAACTATTATTATATTAGGATAATAGTCTAAGGTATACTGATTTGTATCACTACAATATAATAGTTATTACGGTGAGGTTGAATTTCCTGTCATTTATTCATCATCCAAGCACAAACTTGTATAAGAAAACAAAATCTCTGTAAATTAACCTCAGTTTCAGGTATAGAGATGTGATCTGTTTCTGTGACATGTGCTTTTGACCATCCACAAGAACCTGCGGTCATCCGATGTTCAGTACTTCAGTACTTTGATTCTATGTTCAAATCTCATAAAAATCGATTAAGAAGATGCCAGTCTAGGTACCAGACAAAATTTGAGGGAATCGCATGAACCCCAAATAAAGCGAGACCAGTTTCGTCGTCAGGGTAAGCGTCTTCTGCTTACCATCAACTGCAATGCAAATCCACACTCAGTCAAAACTTCGCAATCGGGAATAAGACACATTTTTAAAAATCAAATCGGACGACGTACCCGGTTTTGATTCCCTCAATTTTTAAAAAGGCATGTCCTAAGTGAGTTGAGATACAGATACAGCGTATCCGGCAATCAATTCGTGATGGTGACCGTAAAACTTATGTACTGTCAATTGTCGTAGTTTTTCCTCATAACTCTGTTGGAGGAGGTTTTGTGAAAAGAGCACACCTATGTTAATGAATTCCGTATAGTGTACAAATACACGAGCGTAACGTATTATTTGAGATATGTAAACGCCATACAACGGGAAAAAGAGTATGCTTTTGCTGAAAAATGGGAAAAGTTAAACCATCACCTTTGTCATAGATTCTATAGTAGTAGTTCACTTGTGATAAACGAGATCGGACTCAGAAAACGAACTATTTCGGGGACGCTTTCCATGTCGACGTACCCAGTTTCGCTCCTATTGAAGTCCATGCCATTCCCTCAGTTTTTGTTTGTTACTTTGATTTGTCTTTCTAATCGATTTACGAGATTTGAATATCGGTAAACTGCTGTTCACTTTTGAATCTTGAAACGATTGGTTTTGTAGAATGTTTTCGCTTTATCAAAATAACAGTGGCACCTTTCGAATGTGTCTTATACGTGTGTTCCGAAGGGGAAAAGTACTGAATTTTCATATTAAAACCAAAATCATCTTTCGTGCCAACCCTATGCTCATGTTAACATGCATTGGTAGACATTAATCATTGCTAACATTTTAGTATTGTTAAAATTAGCACGGTGTGATTTGAAGGAACTATTTCTTAATTAGACACAACAAAAATGAACATGCAATATCGTATCTTTATGGAATATTATATTTTGAAAGTTTGCTTATAAGATTGAAAACAAATGAATTAGACTTAGTGATTTTCATTCTTTAAAAAAAAATTGTTTTCAAACAATTGTTCAATCTGTGCATAAAAGCTAAATATCTTCATTTTATTTTATTAAATGAAACAACACATTGAACTTTTTAATTATAAATTCATTTCAAAGAGCTTTCAACAGCAAAAATAATCAACAATTTAAAGGAAAATATGATATTATCAACAACAAAATTGATTACAAAAACCTGAAAAATTAATTAATTTCTCGATTGATTAATTTTTTTTTATTGTATATTATATATTTTTCCGTTTCAATGTTTTAATCCCATATATTGCGCAGAGGAATCTTTTTACGATATCTTTTATTTAAATTACAAAATTTTTTTTCTAAGCGAACTGTATGATATTTTTAGAAATTCATTATATGGTTTTGCTACTTTGAATAAATATCTAAGTTTTCATCGCTCATTGAAGACTTATTTTGTATGTTTTCAAACTTCTTGCAAATCAATTCACATATCCTAGGCATTGCTAGTATTAATTATCAAACAATAAAGTTGCACAGATAATTAGTGTCTTCAGTTATTTAATATTTTCTTTGGGTTTACTAAAACAAGAAATGTGACACGGAAGTGTAATGTTCGATGCGTAAACTTCGATTTCAATTACGAATGTGAATAAATCAAATGTTTATATTCTAAATAAATGAAACAAATTACGTTAGATTTTTAGAATGGAATAAAAAGATGAAATGCATGTTATGGTTTCTTGTGTATAATTTGGAGTTTAGTATGACGTCCATTATCACTGAACTATTATACATATTTGTTTAGGGGCCAGCTGAAGGACGCCTCCGGGTGCGGGAGTTTCTCGCTGCATTGAAGACCCATTGGTGGCCTTCGGCTGTTGTCTGCTCTATGGTCGGGTTGTTGTCTCTTTGACACATTCCCCATTTCCATTCTCAATTTTATGGTGGCCAAATACTTTGTATTTTGACTTATGAGTTTGAATATCACTTTGTTATATTCCCTCTCTCTCTTCTTTATTTTATGTATTTTTGTACACACTTTGGCCATTCATATTGGTATTTGACAAGAAGACAGCACTTCGGTTATGGCATACTTTGATTGATACATGTTAACTACATTTACAGTTTATTAAATATGTGTATGTGCTAAAATTAAATTGCAGCTCTTTCAGGCATTGCTGACATTATGATAAGACTAGTTTGATTGTTCTGTTTAGGCGATTCTTATGTACTATTACATAAAAATGCCTTCCCAAACATTAGTCCCGTACAAGCCTAATGCAGATAATTCTAAAAAGACACTCATAATTGGAATAAAAGTGTGATCATTTCTTTATAGTGGCATATCACTATCACCGAGTCGTTATCGCTGATGATGAACTTTTATTTTACTTTTAGGATGTTCGCTTGTCATGTTTTGGAATTTTTGTCAGATTTTCGGAATCCTCTGGTTTTATCCATTTGAATGCCTTAAAAAATATTGCTCACTAATCCCCATTTTTCTTTTTATAAATCTTTTACATATATAAACCATCTGTAAAAGTCTTATAAAATCTTTGTTATTTTTTCATAGTTTTTGAGAACTTAAACTTGTCAATGATAAAGCTATGAAAAATCAAGAGAGAAAATTTTTCCGCCAAAATTTCAATGGCTAATATCTCGAAAACAAGCACACAGACCTATATATTTTTTTTTCACTCTTTTGGTTCCTTTATTTATCCCCTATCAATATATACTAGTGTTATGAAAAGTTTGTTATTTTGAAACTGAGTAGCGAACTTCCTTACTAGAATATGACTACTATTCATTGCTTTGGGATATTATTGCAAGTGTGCGAGATTTGTACAAAGACAGTAAAAATAGGAGTATTTCCATTCAACTGAATAATTTTACAACCGATGCATTTTTTAAAGCGAGTTAGCTACGTACATGTAGCGTGTCGTTCACTAAACATAGATATATAGGGCTTTGTTCACTAAAGATAGATATATAGGGCTTTGTTCACTAAAGATAGATATATAGGGCTTTGTTCACTAAAGATAGATATATAGGGCTTTGTTCACTAAAGATAGATATATAGGGCTTTGCAGCTATGTTAGTTGTTATGATATTGAACCACAACCCTGGTATTCCTCAAATACTGTGTATAATTGCAGGAAAAAGTTAGATGAAACAACAGCTGAACTAAAGAAAACGTCACGTCTTCTGGAAGAAGAAAAACATAAAACTGATGCTTTACTGTACCAAATGCTTCCACAGAAAGTCGCTAATGATTTGAAAAATGGAATAACAATAGCAGCAGGTGAGTGGATTTTCATTTAACCTAAAGTGTATAGTATTTTTTTAGTAACTCTTTTTTACAGTTAGTTGTATAAAAAGCCTAATCAGTATGAAATACAACGAATACGTTAAATGATTATTTCTAGAACCACTTAAATAGGAACACTAAAACGGACGTAAAATATAGTTAAAACTTTTTAGGATCAACTTTGCCAGAGGAATTTTTGGGTGAAATATACCCAAAATTGTGCATATTAGTTGACGTGTTTTGTACTTATACAGCCTTGACTGTAAAAATTTTGGCTTTTAGTCCTGATGTAATTAAATCCAAAATAGTGTCATCATTTGTCTCAGCTCCCAACGAAATTTTTCTCCTGGTTTGTGTGTTAAAAATGGTATGAAAGTAATAGTACAGTTATACCATATTCCAGAGAAATTTGAGGTAGTGACTATCCTGTTCAGTGATATCGTTACCTTTACCAACATAGCCTCTGAGTGTTCTCCCATGGAAGTTGTTACCATGTTGAACAATCTGTATGCGAAGTTTGACGAGAAAACAAATGAACATGATGTGTATAAGGTAAGAGGAAAAATTTGTTTGCTTCTTTGATCAAGTTTTAGAATTATGTTGAGGCGTTGAACATGTTTTATATGCAAGCAACAAAACGTCGAGAAAATGGGGGTATTTACCCTTGTCCGCCTGTCCGTTGGTACGTCACATATAGGGTACACAGTTTGTCGGTTTAATTCTACGTACAGCTTTCGAGCTAGAACTTTTATAGTATGCAGATTGTTTATACATGTGTATAGTATCAGGATTTTGATATTCTTTATATTTTTTGCAAATGATTTTTTTTCGTCATTTTTGGTAAAATTACCCATGCAGGGTACATGGTGTGTCTGGCTAAGCCATCCTACTGTTTTCAATCTTAAACTTTATACAAATGGATTACATGGTTGTCCGCAGAAATCTAACGAGTAAATCCTTAAATAGTTTTTATTCTTGAACTTTTAAATTATGCAAGATATTATTAAGAGTGTGCATATTATCAGATTTTGATTTTCTATAAATTTCCACAAATGAATAGATGTTGAACTTAATCATTTATTTGAAATTGTTTATGTTGGGTGCATTGATTTTTCATCTAGTAGCCGTTCATCATTGAAACAATTTGAATTATCTTCACTATTGTTGTTTAATTAAAGTTTTTTTTCTTTGAATAATTTGGTTAGTTTTTATTTTAGTAGTTAATTAGTTTAAAAACAGTTGATTCATTGTTTCTGGGGTTCACTTTTAAGGTTGAAACAATTGGTGATGCGTATATGATAGTCAATGGTTGTCCGGAAATCAAAGAGATACACGTGCAAGCTGTAGCAAATTTTGCTATGGATATGGTAGAGGAGGCAGCTAAAGTAAAGTCTCCAGCTACAGGATTATCACTACAGGTTTGTGCTGATTGATTTGTTTTTAAGATAAAGAACATATTAAATGAAATAAATAATGTTTTAGTGAACCAGATAAACGAGAAAGCAAAGATTCTGATTCTGGTATTTTGTTTGTAATCGATAAGATTTCAAAATGTCTCATTGATAATTAAATACCGTTCTTTTCCTGGACTCTCACCACCCGAGACCTAAGCGTGACTTTGATTCAAAGGCAAACAGTATACCGTGATATCAGGTTTGTTTAATTTGATTGTGAAAGTTTAATTGTATACAACCTGAAGTTATCTGATATACATTGTACCCCTTCTAAAGCAATGTGCTAGAAGATGTACGGCCATACACTCCATTTTGTCTCAACTTGTACAATAACTCGGGAAGCTTTAGGGCTTGCAAAATGTTTTCGGCGCTTTTCTTTCATTGGAATCTAGACATCCTTGTTAATTTAACTTTTGTTTACGGTTGACATGTACCATTATATAAATAACACATAGCTGAGAGGGTGATAGAGCAGATTGTTACCCCGAGAAAACATTGTCAACTGAGGCGAAGCCAAGGTTCACAATGTCTTTTCGAGGGGTAACAATCTGCTCTATCAGCCTCTCAGATATGTGTTATTTAATTTATTTTACTGAATGTTCTGTTATTACTGTCGATTAAATTTCAAATTCAAAGTAATAAACTATGACGCCTTGTACATAACAACCATCCGTATTTGATAAAGCGCAAACTTGATCAAGCGTCTCCGTGAAGGATAATAGAGTATTTGCCATAGGATAGAGTCGTATTTAATAAAGCGCACACTTGATCAAGCGTCTCCGTGAAGGGTAATAGAGTATTTACCATAGAATAGAGTAAATCAACACCCTCGTATTAACCAATCAAAATCTGGCATTTTGACATGAAGTTTAATAATAATATTCAACCCATATTTCTCATTATGCCCAACCCACTAAATGGCAGGGACATATAGTGTATCATATGTCCGATCTTCCGTCATTTTGAAATCAAACAGTTGTTCGGACTTCTTTTCCGTTATGCCTGCAAATGTAGTGCAGATTTTGATACACAAGTGTATCATGATGTCGCACAGATCGACTTTGCGTCTCGTTCTGGTTGGCACACTTTTTGCGGTATTACGGCCCTTAAAAATTCATGAAAATTGTGCTTCTGCGGACTTTTTTGGCAATGCGGATATATCTTGAGCTGGTTTTTTTGTACATTGATGCTGTCTTGTAGATCTATTTTGCCTCTCGTTTCGGTTGATGGACACATCAGATCCGTTTCCATTCATATTGTTAGTATAAGGACACAATTTAGCAGTGGCGGATCCAGAGGGGGCGTAGAGGGCGTACGCCCTCCCTTTGCTTGCACTTTTTTTTTTTTTTTTTAAATGATTAATCAGACTAGACATCGCGAACTTTGCCATTTCCCGTGTATTTAATTTTTATGCGACAATTCTTTACTTATAAAGATATTTTTCGCTCGTATTTACTATAATATATTATTGATTATGTCAAAATCATGTGATTCGCTACGGTGGAGTTGACCAGTACGTCGAAAAAAACGTCACTCAATCATTTTGAAATTCAAATTACAGTAACACATTGCTTAGGCTGAGGATGACAAGCATGACGCCTTCAAAGCGACAAAGTATTGAGCAAGAACGTATTGACTTCTATTTCACAATTCCACCCAACAGAAAGTAATACTCTATTACACTCTCATGAAAAAAAAAGTTCCACAGCAATATTATTTACCTACGAAAACATGTTTAACCCCACTAGCCCCAGCCCATTAATAACATTGCTGAATAGTGATCCCCAGTCAGTAAGCTCTAGATATAGATTTAAAGTCTAAGATACGGACCATTTGATTTAAGGGGGCAGTCTGAGATATTTAAGAAAAAAAATTCTGACCCTAATTTTTGCCTTAAACAAAAATTCTGGCCGTATCTGGATTGAAAACAATAATCTTGTCCACTTTTTTGCTATTAGAAAAAAATATTTTCAACAAAATTATTTAGCATTAAATGAACATGATGAATAAAAAACGGGCGTAATTTTTATTTTGGGGTGGGGGGGAGGGTTGCATGTGAATCCCATATCTGACCGGAATGTCTGTTTTGCCGAACTGATATACTGAATACTTTTTTCAAGGCCCGACTGCAACCTGCCTGCTGGGTGTGGCCTATATGTCTCCATGTGTCGACCGTCATTCTCAACTTCATTGTCATTTCCGACTCATTCGTAGCCTTTGGTTGATTTGGAACCCCTCACTTCCCTTGTTGGTTGAAACATTTCAACCAAACATTTGGATAAAAATTGCTTGTCTTTCTTCGTGTCGGTCGTATTGTAAATTTCATTGAATAGCCGTATATCTTGTTTACAACAAGAAATCTGTGAGGTTATGCTAACTAACCATACAACAAACGAGAATTTTCCATCTCCATTTTTTACTGACAAATCCCACATCAAATATATTAATTAGTACATAGCTTTGGATCCATCCAATCATTTAACAATTAATGGAGAGAATACGGCACCAAAAATATCCAACCCCTACACTTTAACTATAAAATGCATTTTACACTTATTTTATGTTTTTTAGCCAAAAAAAGGTCCAAAAAAGTTTTTGCCTCGCTCCGCTCGGCAAACTTTAATACTACGCCCCCCCCTTTCCAAAATCCTGGATCCGCCCCTGTTTAGTGCACGTAAATCGTTATTACTTTAAAATTAGTGTTTTTCATCTTTACAGCAAAAACTCTAAATTGATATATTTCAAGTTATGTTGACAAGTTGGTGTACACTGATTTAACAAATCAATCTAATATCATAATTGTTCAGTGAGCGTCTATTACGGAGCTTCCCAAGTTGAATTAATGAGGGTCTGGATAGGGGAGTCCACTCCTTCATTTCTGCATTCTTCAAATTTTGTAGGTAATTTTTCTCTTTTCTTTATATTTTTGCCCATTATTCTCTATTCTTTATATTTTTGCATTTTTTTTTGCAGTATTGGCCCATCATTCTCTATTCTGTAAACCTCACCCAAACTCTCGTTAATGTGACTGTGGAACGATATGTTAGCGTTGATTTTATCTCATTTCTTTCATTCGGTTTCAGATAAGAGTAGGGTTTCACAGCGGGCCAGTTGTGGCTGGCGTGGTTGGTGTTAAGATGCCTAGATATTGTCTGTTTGGAGATACTGTCAACACTGCCTCACGGATGGAGAGCCACGGCGTTCCTGGACGTATACATGTCAGTCCTCTAGCTTACAGGTGGGAAATTTATCATACTGATATAAAACACAATGCCTGACAAAGAATTAAGACAACATTTTGAAATTTACCAAACAAAACTTTATTGCGACGAATATTTAGTGGCGGTCCTGCAATTATACCTTCAAACAAGATTTCAAATTTGATTTGAACAAGTCTGTTTTAGTTAAATTAATATAAAACAATTCTACAGTACTGGTTTTTACTCTGATATTTTAGGACGGTTGCTCTCGTATCTAAAAAATTACTTTTAAGGAAATGGTGGATTTGTTTGTCACAAATTTCCATTTAATGAATACATTTTGCCGATTACAAGTAGATATAATATTCATTTAAGAATAAGGAGTTTTGGTTTGATTGTCAATGAGACAACTATAGACCATAGCCCCAATGACAAGGATGTAAGCAACCAAAGGTCATTGGCCTTCAACAATGAGCAAAATTCAAAACCGCATAGTGTATATATGTTTTATAGTTTTTATGAAAAATATCTTAACAAGACAGCTAACCAAAAAGAACTCAAATATGCACGAAAAATTAAATTAGAAACGCGGATGGATTTTCCTGTCGAAGGTAATGGTTCTCACCGGTAACTACAGCTTCCCACATCAAATAAAACTGGTCGCCACGATATAGCCACGAGTGCTGAAAGTGGCGTTAAAAACCAACAATCGATCAATCAATCAAACAATAGAAACGCTGATGTACAATATACAATTTCTTTAGATTGCTCATTGCAGTTTGCTCATAAATGAGGACTACATATTCAGAGACCGCGGAAGGATAGAGATAAAAGGTAAAGGTCTGTTGAATACGTACTTTCTGATTGGTCGACACGATGATCTGATGGAAGAACCTGCTGATACTTACTGTTCCCTACCAGTAATTGGAAAGAATGGGACTGAGATCCAGGTGATAGACGAAGAGCTTACGAAAAGACACGATTTTGGCCTAGATGTTACAAATTTAGTTGATAATGCAGGAACGCATGAAGAAAAAAGAAACGTTAATGGAAAAACAAGGACTTTCAGTGAAACATGTAATGTTCTTTGAGACAGTATTAATTCAATTTTTATTCTACAATTTCTACAAAAGATCTTTTTCTCCATTAGAATAAAATCGTAGTTTCAACATATATGCTATTTTATGTTACTAAAATGAGAGATTTGTTTGTACTATAAAATGTTTTTTTTTGCTTCGTTTAAAATAAAAATTCTCAATAAAAACAAACTGTTTTTTTTCTCACTTCCCATAAAGTTTGATGTCATGTTTCAACATATGAATTTATCCGTTTACAGATGTTGTCTATCAAAGTACAAACCATATTTGTCATAATGTTTTTTTTTACCGAGTAATGATTTGTGGTCATACATATGACTAAAATTCAAATATCCTCTTAAAAATATATATGTTTTTCAAATTTTCAAACTCGTTTCTAAAATGTTTTCTGTGATTGATTTTATACTCAGATCATAAAAAAAAAACCAGCAAGCAACAGGAAAACAAAGAAAACAATACATTTGGCCTTATTTAATATAGGAAATGTCTACTTGAAACAGACTGAATGCTTGTTATAGGCCTATACTACTTATTTCCTTTCTTAATACTTTTAAAACACGTGGCAGTATTTGTTTTTGAATTGTTACATCCTTCCATCATTTCCATTAGTAGTATCACCAAATAATATGATTATAGTAAGGGACTTCAAGGGAGTCAAATAACTCGCATAGCACTCATCAACCGGGACACATCAAATCAAATTTTGTTTGAAATTATGACACGTTTTGCAAAAGTTAATATTGAGAATAAGAACGTGTATCCCAAAATGCTGAAAACCCCTTTTAGGGATCCCGTTAAGAAGTTGGGTTTTCTATTCTGCAATTACCCAATAAAACTTCTAATTAAGACCGAGTCAGAATGGAATTTATCTACAGTCTTACATCAAGGCTTGAAATCTATCTTTCCAGTAAAAGTGACAGCGCCTGGGGGTTACTGACTATCCTATCGGGTATAACTGTGCCGACAGCACTTGCCAAATCATACCCTGTTCTAACCAAAAAACATTGAAAAACATACCCTGTTCTAAACAGAAATATTGAAAAACATACCCTGTTCTAGACACGCTCAGAAAATGTATACCCTGTTCTAGACCGTATAAAATAAATGCTGTTCTAGACCCTGGTTCTAGACTGTATCTTAAACAGTTAAATAAGCGATCCTGTTCTAGACAAATACTTTGTTTAAAAAAGACCCTGTTCTCACCAGCAGGGCATGAAAAAGCGACCCTGTTCTAACCAACAGGGCATGGAAAAGGAACCCTGTTCTAACCAGCAGGACATGAAAAAGGAACCCTGTTCTAACCAGCAGGACATGAAAAAGGAACCCTGTTTTAACCAGCAGGGCATGAAAAAGGAACCCTGTTCTAACCAGCAGGACATGAAAAAGGAACCCTGTTCTAACCAGCAGGGCATGGAAAAGGAACCCTGTTCAAACCAGCAGGGCATGGAAAAGGAACCCTGTTCTAACCAACAGGGCATGGAAAAGGAACCCTGTTCTAACCAGCAGGGCATGGAAAAAAAAACCCTGTTCTAACCATCAGGGCATGGAAAAGCGACCCTGTTCTAACCAGCAGGACATCAAAAAGCGACCCTGTTCTAACCAGCAGGACATGAAAAAGGAACCCTGTTCTAACCAGCAGGACATGAAAAAGGAACCCTGTTCTAACCAACAGGACATGAAAAAGGAACCCTGTTCTCACCAGCAGGGCATGAAAAAGCGACCCTGTTCTAACCAGCAGGACATGAAAAAGCGACCCTGTTCTAACCAGCAGGACATGAAAAAGGAACCCTGTTCTAACCAGCAGGACATGAAAAAGCGACCCTGTTTTAACCAGCAGGGCATGCAAAAGGAACCCTGTTCTAACCAGCAGGGCATGGAAAAGGAACCCTGTTCTAACCAGCAGGACATGGAAAAGGGACCCTGTTCTAACCAGCAGGGCATGGAAAAGGAACCCTGTTCTAACCATCAGGGCATGGAAAAGGAACCCTGTTCTAACCAGCAGGGCATGGAAAAGGAACCCTGTTCTAACCAACAGGGCATGGAAAAGGAACCCTGTTCTAACCAGCAGGGCATGGAAAAAAAAACCCTGTTCTAACCAGCATGGCATGGAAAAGGAACCCTGTTCTAACCAACAGGGCATGGAAAAGGAACCTTGTCTAACCAGCAGGACATGGAAAAGGAACCCTGTTATAACCAAACCAGCAGGGCATGGAAAAGGAACCCTGTTATAACCAGCAGGACATGGAGAAGGGACCCTGTTCTAACCAGCAGGGCATGGAAAAGGAACCCTGTTCTAACCAGCAGGGCATGGAAAAGGAACCCTGTTCTAACCAGCAGGGCATGGAAAAGGAACACTGTTCTAACCAGCAGGGCATGGAAAAGGAACCCTGTTCTAACCAGCAGGGCATGGAAAAGGAACCCTGTTCTAACCAGCAGGGCATGGAAAAGGAACCCTGTTATAACCAGCAGGGCATGGAAAAGGAACCCTGTTCTAACCAACAGGGCATGGAAAAGGAACCCTTTTTTAACCAACAGGGCATGGAAAAGCGACCCTGTTTTGCGGCACACTCGTACCACTAAAAATATAGGAAGTAACCCCCCCTCCCGGGTGACAGCGTTACCTATACACGACAGGTTTTTTTTGTTTACAGTAAAACAGACCGTACAAAACACGTAGCTTGATGTTCTTTGCAAACACACGAACCACCAAAACAGAACACAAACATGTAATGTGATGATATTTGCTACCACATGAGCCACCAAAACAGAACACAAACATGTAATGTGATGATATTTGCTACCACATGAGCCACCAAAACAGAACACAAACATGTAATGTGATGATATTTGCTACCACATGAGCCACCAAAACAGAACACAAACATGTAATGTGATGATATTTGTTACCACATGAGCCACCAAAACAGAACACAAACATGTAATGTGATGATATTTGTTACCACATGAGCCACCAAAACAGAACACAAACATGTAATGTGATGATATTTGCTACCACATGAGCCACCAAAACAGAACACAAACATGTAATTTAATGATATTTGCAACCACCTGAAACACCAAATAGAACACAAAACATATAATGTGATGTTATTTGCTACCACATGAGCCACCAAAACAGAACACAAACATGTAATGTGATGTAATTTGCTACCACTTGAGCCACTAAAATAGAACACAAAACATGTAATAATTTGATGTTATTTGTTATCACATAAGCCATAAAAAAGATGTATTTTAGCCTTTTAATTTTTGTTATATAGTTTTCTTCGATTGTTGTTCCTGATTGTTTTCTATTTTGGCAGCTCGTGTGGCAGCAGGTAACCAGCATCACACTACATGTTTTGTTTTCTATTTTTGGTGGCTCGTGTGGAAGCAAAAACATCACATTACATATTATGTAGCAAATATCCGTTTTACTGTCTAAAATTGCTTTCGCGACCGTTAAATCGCCAAATGACGGCGGAAGCTTTTCAACTACAGTACTGTTATTTCTTTAATATTATGTTTATTTTTGTCTGTATAAACTTAGAATTTGGATTTTCATCTTATTAGTAAAAGGCAAAGATAACAAATATACATATAGATTCTACCACACCACACTGATCTTTACGATATTTATCTACTCGAGAGAGTGACATTTTCAAACTTTAAAATGCGAGATTTACCAATTCAAGATTTTCAAGTTATGAAATCGAACTATTGGGAGTAGATAAATATGTTAATCAACTGGATAAAGTGGTAGAATCAGTTTCTCTAATGATTTGATGGACAAATGCCGAGTGAATATTCCGAATGAATATGTAGACAATTTTTAAAAAACAACGTTTCGTTGATCAAAGTTAACAAACTGGTCAGAACCTTTTTTAAATTCATAAAGAATAAAAGAAAATACTGTTGCAGCTAAATTATCTGTCAAGATATAAATTTTAAAAACTATTCTTTACAGAATATTTACACTTTAGGTGTTCAATTCATCTGGTGCAGAAAAATTGGTACCGTTTATGTTATTCATACAAACGCTGATCGTTTATTAGCTGAAAACAAATCATTTGATTACGTCACTTGCATTCAATACTGGTTTGAAGTATAGAGTATTTCGATCCGCTCAACAAATTAATCAACACTATTTTCTCACATTATTCTAGTATTTTGTGCAAACATTGTTTTTTAAATCGAAATTGAAAACGTTATAGACTTATATATATTGAAAATATGAAAAAATTATAGAAATATGTAACAATAAATTATAACCCGATGGTATACATTATAATAATTATGGAAATTTGATAAATATTTAACGAGCTTTATATTGACTTTGAAATTGACATTTTCACCATGAACATTTCAGCTGAATGACGTATGATTGATTGCAGATATGGATTACATCTCAAAAGACAATTTCCGCCGAAGTTGTGTGTAGACTTTTGCTTTACTTTAAGATTCAAATTGTTTTAAAATTAAATATGCTTATCTAATTTCTATGATCTAAAAAAAAAAAGAATTCAATGCAAGTTTTTTTTTTAAATTGATACGAAATGAATGCAAGTCACTATCAGATTTATAGCAAAATGTGATCGTTACTTGCATTCATTTTGTATAAATTTTCAAAAACAGCATTCAATTCTATAATATACTGCTTAAAAGTCCCTTCAAATATAAAATTTCACTTAATGTTTTTTTTTTTTTTTTTTTTAAATATTTATAGTATAATACAGACGAGAGTTACAATAAAAACAACTATACGAATTTTTATATCAAGTATACTGAACAAAGACGGAATAAATTCAAACTATTTCTGATTTCTGAGTAAGGAGCACTCGAATAAAAATTAAAAGCCAGGAAGTCTTTATTGGCGTTGACTTTATCAATATTGACTTTAATCGCTAAATAAAAATTGTATTGGCGTGAGAGAAAAGTCAGTCTTTGATTTAACATGTCATATCGAGATCAATTAAGAAGAAGTTAAATACATCGAGTACACCGTGCTAATTTTTTTAAATATTTTTCTGCAAGCATGGCGGAGACAAAGGTAACTTGTTTTAAAAAGCATGTTCTTTCTTCTTAACATCAAATTCTTATAACACACAATATGGCTATGACACACAATATTGTATTACTCCTTAGTTACAATCGAAAATTGACCTTTTGAAAAGATATCGCATGAAATCAAACATAAGTCCTATAATATATTGTCTCACTGCCTTCTTTCATTTCTGACTGGAATTATTGAACTGTTAAAACTTTCAAAAGGTCTTCAATACCTAAAGGGCTAATAGCATTGTGCGATTCCTCTTCTTTTTAGCTCACCTGGCCCTTTGAGGGCCATGTGAGCTTATGCCATCACTTGGCGTCCGTCGTCGTCTGTCGTCGTAAACTTTTTCAAGAATCTTCTCCTCTGAAACTACTGGGCCAAATACCTTCAAACTTTAACTGAATGTTCCTTAGGGTATTTAATTTATACATTGTATCCGAAGTTTTGATCTACCAACAAACATGGCCACCAGGGCTAAAAATAGAACATAGGGGTCAAATGCAGTTTTTGTCTTATATCTCAAAAACTAAAGCACTTACAGCAAATCTGACAGGGGTAAAAAAAAATTTTAGGATCTATCATCCCTGAAATTTTGAGACGAACCGAACAACCCATTGTTGGATTGCAGCCACTTAATTGGTAATTTTAAGGAAATTTTGCAGTTTTTGGTTATTATCTTAAATATTATTGAAGATAAAGATAAACATTTAACAGCAAAAATGTTCAGCAAAGTAAGATATACAAAAAAGTTAATATGACCAAAATTGTCAATTGATCCCTTAAGGAGTTATTGCCCTTTAAAGACAATTTTACACAATTTGTTCATCATGTTTGCTAACATTTAAAAATCTTCTCCTCTGAAACTACTGAGCCTAATACTTCTAAACTTTAACTGAATGTTCCTTAGGCTAACTGGTTTATAAATTGTATCCAAAGTTTTGATCCATTAACAAACATGGCCGCTATGGCTAAAAATAGAACATAGGGGTCAAATGCAGTTTTTGCCTTTTATCTCAAAAACTACAGCAGTTAGAGCAAAAGTGATGAATAAGTCAAAATCTATCTGTTATGAAATTTTCGGACCAATTGGGCGACCCATTGTAGAGTTACTGTCCGAAATAGTTTATTTTTATGAAATTTTACTGTTTTAGTTATTATCTTTAATATAATAGATAGGAAGTGTAAATGGCAAAAATGTTCAGCTAAGTAGGATCTACAAATAAGTCAAATGATCAAAATAGTCAATTGACTCCTTAAGGAGTTATTGCCCTTGAAACGTTTATTTTTTACATTTTTTCGTGCAAGTCTTCTCCTCTGAAACTGCTGGGTCAAATACTTCCAAACTTTAACTGAATGTTTCTTAGTGTATTTAGTTTGTAAATTGTATCCGAAATTGTGATCCATCAACAAATATGGCCGCCATGGCAACAAATAGAACAATGGGGACAAACGCAGTTTTTGGCTTATATCTCAAAAACTACAGCAGTTAGAGCAAAATTGAAAGGTAGTTAAAGTGATAAATGGGTCATGATCTATCTGTTATGAAATTTTCAGACAAGTTCGACAACCCATTGTTTGGTTACTGTTGGAAATAGTTTATTTTTACCTGTCAAGTAATCTTCAGACCAAAAGGACAACGTATTGTTGGGTTACTGTCCAGAAATAGTTAATTTTTAGTAGTTTTAAAGTTTTGGGTTATGTATTATCTTTAATATTATTATAGAAAGAGAGAAAGTGTAAATGACAAAATTGTTCAGCAAAGTAAGATCTACAAATAAGTCAAATAAAAATAAGAAGATGTGGTATGAGTGCCAATGAGACAATTCTCCATCCAAGTCACAATGTGTAAAAAGTAAACAATTATAGGTCAAAGTATGGCCTTCAAAACGGAGCCTTGGCTCACACCGAACAGTAAGCTATAAAGGGCCCCAAAAATTACTAGTGTAAAACCATTTAAACGGGAAAACCAACGGTCTTATCTATATAAAAAACGAGAAACGAGAAACACTTATGAACCACATCAACAAACGACAACCACTGAACATCAGATTCCTGACTTAGGACAGGTGCAAACAATTGCAGCGGGTTTAAACGTTTTAATGGTACCAAACCTTCACTCTTATCTGAAACAATAGTGTAACATCACAACATAGAAAGACACACTATAAAATATCAATTGAAATGGCGTAACTCAATCAAAAGACATATTAACACCAGTGAACATACACTGAACAAATAAATTTGATCTATGATACAATGTTAATACAAAATAAATAAACTAAGGGAAGAATAATTAAAGTAACATGTTTTACCGCTGTGAAATGTTAAACAATTTAAGAAAAACAATATGTTTGAACAAAAAATTGAGCGATATCAGGTTTTCATGAGCCTCTTGTTTTTCTATTTTTATATCTATGTCCAGCCATGCTCCAAATCTTTTCGAGGGGTACAGGTTTGTCTGTACTCGAGTGAAATTTGTAGTGAAAATACGACCATATTTACTTAAAGGTTATGATGAACCTTAATAATTTATTTTAATTCTGTTGTTGTTGGTATGATTGTTTTGGGGTTCCAAATGGAAAAAAAACATGGATATAACCATGCAAATATGATACATGCATTTTGTACTTAATTCATTTATTTTAATTTTGTTGTAGGTATGATGGTTTTGGGGTTCCAAATAGAAAAATTAAACATGGATATAACCATGTAAATATGATACATGCATTTTATACCTTAATAATTCAGTGGATTTTAATGAAAAATTCAAAGAATTCTTATTAGTTATAAATCGCCATCGTTCATTATCACTTCCATTTTATTTAGGGAACGACCATTTAACCACTTACAGGGGTTAAATTCTTTTTCATTCATAAATTTTTTTTCGTTCCACCCAAGCATCATTTTTTTTTATAAAGAACTTAAAATTAAATTTAATGGCAAATACTCTTAAGCAGAATTTGTTTCCCCCATTTCCCTGATGAAAATGTATTTTTTCAGTTGAGAATCAGAATATTTTTTAAAGAAAAACAACAACCCCCCCCCCCTTTTTTTTTTAGGTTTTCCCAGTGCATGATATTGATGTTATATTAAAAGACAGGAAGAAACCTTCGGTGATTGGTGATCGAAAACTTTTGGCAGCTTATCTACTTATAAGTTTTGTTGCCGAAGTTTACGGATCGTGACCTTGATAAACAATCATCACAAAATCATCCAGCACGTGAATAATAAGTGAGATGATAGAGCGATGTTTATTCTATATTTATTTACATTTCCCATGCGTTCCTATTTGTTCATTAAACTTTGTCATTACAGTTGTTAAATTATTAGGTGTTTCAATATTTTTCTTCTTGTATCGGTTAATTCTATCTTCCTATAAACGTTTATATACTTTTCTTTCATCACGGTTTTCCCTTCGCATTTGCACTTTGCGATTGCCGAATTTCTAGAGATAATGTCATGGAAAGGTCACTACATAAAAGTTCATATTTTTTTCACGTTGTTATAAAATCATTAAAAATTTTGATTAGCTAACATAAAATTTATAAAGATACGGGATGTAAACACGTATATTTTTTGCAGTGATAATGTTTCTTCATGTATATCAAAATGATTTTCATTCAAAACGTTGAAGTGTTAAAACGGATGTATAAATCTTGAATTTTAGTTTGCTTGCAGCGGTTTGTAGTGTTTAGTTGTATGATTTAAATATCCATCGTACATGAACCGTGTGTTGTAACTTAATAAATTATTCTAAATATGGTGTATACGGAAATCGATTTTAATGTCTAGATTGATGTAAAAACAAAACGTGACAGATGGACAAGTGAAAATCTTAACAACAATAAAGATGGATGGAATATGGAAAGAGAATTCCCCCGAACTAGTTCAGGTAGGCTATTTCTTGTCCATCTATTTAAAATCTGTCTTCGTTCAACATTTATTCAGTTATATAAGCACAATGCGGTAATCTGTTTGTCTTCCCTTAACACTTATTCACTTACATAAGAACACTTATTCAGTTATGTAAGCACACTTGCGGTAATCTGTTTGTATTTTCAATGAAAGAGATCCACAAATATATTTAATATACACATATGGTCTTACTCTAGGATATGACATACCATCTTTAATAGATGAAAATTGTTTTAAAAAGATCAAGAATACCGTTGTTTCAAATATACAGGGTGCATTCTAAAGATTAGTTTAATGAATAAAAGGAGAAGTTTGATACGCATCTTATGAATTAGCATACATTAAAAGACAAAACAGGATGATTATGCCTGACCGTGTACAGTTATTGATATAATATTTGATTGCCTAGGGCGAGACATGTTCCTGTTTTGTCTTGTACTGTCCATTTATTCATAGCCCGTGGGAATTAATTGTAAAGAGTTAAGTTTAGAATGGTTTTTGGTTCCCATATATATCAGTAATTGAAAAACGGTTCCTATTGAGACTACTTTTGCACGTCCAATTTCGAATTTTAGTAAATTTGTTAACACCCGAAGTCTGTGTTTATATCAGAAATTTCGCCCGATTTTTGGTTAGAAACAGTGTAAGACTTTCTATTTTGACCAAACCACATTCGGTATTTGTATATATATTTAATTCAAGAGTCTCGCAGGATTCTTTTTTTGTTTCTGTCGATGTTTTTCACTGTATGTTGCTGAAATTTAACAGTTGAGTGATGGTTTACATCAAAGCAACCCTTTTGATTGACGAATTTGTAGGCCTGGGAACGCTTCCTTATGAAGATGCAAAATGAAAAATGCAAAGAAAAAAAATTAATATATTTTTACTTATTTTTTAAAAGTTGGTATTTTTCCAATCATGGATCCGCCACTTTTTTGGTAACGAAGCCTTGTTCTAGTCTTCTTGTCGATAGAAAATGTATGTACAGCAATTATGTTTTAAGTCTTTTTCTCTCAGATTTAGAAACAGATTCAGCTTTGTGTTTATAATTTTCATCCTTATATAAAGTGGTAGTATGACATAAGAACATATAATAAAAAGTGTCATACACCTATATAACACGTGTCAAGATAAAAGTTATACAAGTACCATTCTATTGATAATGATAATCATTCAACCTATGCCAACATTTTGAAATTTCGGTATCAATTTATATTAAAAAATGTTGGCATAGGTTAAATAAAATATAACAGATTAAGTGTTATAAAAACAAAAAATAATTATGGGCCAATCAATTTACAACCAGTTTAAACATAATGTTTAAGTGTGCTGAAAACTATTTTTATACCCAACGCAACAAAGTTGCGGAGGGTATAATGTTTTTGATCCGTCCGTCTGTCCGTCCGTCTATTCGTCCGTCGGTCTGTCCGTCCGTCAGTCCTGTTATTGTCATCACAACTCCACTGAAACCACACAACAGAATTTCATGAAACTTGGTAGATAAAAAGGACATACTATGAAGATGTGCATATCGACAGGAAATTATGATTCAATTTTTTTTCTAGGAGTTATGCCCCTTTGAACTTATTGGCCTCAATATACTACTGCAACAGTTTCTCATCGCAACTTCTCTGAAACCACACAACAGAATTTCATGAAACTTTGTAGATAATAAGGACATACTATGTAGATGTGCATATCGACAGGAAATTATGATTCAATTTTTTTTTCTAGGAGTTATGCCCCTTTGAACTTATTGGCCTCAATATACTACTGCAACAGTTTGTCATCGCAACTCCTCTGAAACCACACAACAGAATTTCATGAAACTTTGTAGATAATAAGGACATACTATGTAGATGTGCATATCGACAGGAAATTATGATTCAATTTTTTTTTCTAGGAGTAATGCCCCTTTGAACTTAGTGGCCTCAATATACTACTGCAACAGTTTGTCATCGCAACTCCTCTGAAACCACACAACAGAATTTCATGAAACTTTGTAGTTAATGAGACCATAATATGTAAATGTGCATATCCACAAGAAATTTTTTATCAGTTGACTTTTGTAGAGTTATGAGTCTTTGAACTTACGAATCTGGTGAGATTTTGTTCGTCCAGTAACAATGTGGGGCGTGGAGTATGTGAGCGTGCTCACAAGGGTTCTTTAATTGTAACTTGTAAAACGAAAATTAAAGCAACTATATGTACTGATCTCTTTTGTATTAGATATTAACATAATAAAACAATGAAAATAAAGGATTTTTGTTTACAAATGTACAAGTATCGCGTAAATATCATACAATATGATGAAAATGTTGATGATATTTTAAGTAGAGTACGTAACGTCAAATGCATGGACATAATGAATATAATTTTTTTTAAATCTGCTGCACGTTGAAACTGCTGGACATAGAAATAATAATGGTAATAAGGAAGGAAGGAAAAAAAAATACTCGAGTACTTTTAATGTATTTTTGTTATTAATGCTATTTTCATTTGTCTATTATAATATCTGTCACGTTATATACTGTACAATGTCTCATATATATATATCTTTATTCTCGTAAACCAAAGTACAATGGTACAGAGACATATACAAATAAATTAACATACATAGTATAAATTTTAGATACAAATGTAAAGTAGAGACATAAAGGAGTTACCCAGGAGATTCTAGGCATTTCATAATAATTCTTATAAACTTACACAGATTGTTTGTTGCTTTTACTATCATAATTGTTAATTGTAAATGGCCCCTGTGGGACCCTGATTGGAATAATAAAAATATTTGGTTTGATTTGATTTTGAAAAGTGTATTTAATTCACATTTCAGTATTCATGAAGAAAATGTTATTTTGCACATATTTGTGTTATTTCTTATTACAATAATACTATATTCAGTATTTCTATGTATTCTAATATAAAAAAACACGTATTTCACAAACACTTACTTGTGAATTTAATTCAATAATACAAATATATATATATATATATATAATTCGTCTAAATAACAGCCCAACAATGTTAGATCTGTAAATTTGCGGAAGCAAATTTTTTGTTCTTCCCTGGCCGGGATTCGAACTTATGCTACTGGGATATCGTGGCACCAAATCGCCTTGCACTATGCCCAACGCACTAGACCACCTTGGCTCGACAAAAATCAAGCTTTTGGTGGCCGGGTGTTACCTTTCATCGTAAGTTTTTATCTAGCGTCGTAACACAGTACATGATATATAAGGCATGAAGGTGGAATATTACAGATCAGCTGAATTATCTATCGTAGAGGATCTTATCCATCGGATCACCAGTGATGGTGATACAAGGCTGAAAACACATTCTGTATACATAATTCGTCTAAATAACAGCCCAACAATTTTAGATCTGTAAATTTGCGATATCTCAGTAGCATGAGTTCGAATTCCGGCCAGGGAAGAACAAAATATTTGCTTCCGCAAATTTACAGATCTAACATTGTTGGGCTGTTATTTAGACGAATTATGTATACAGAATGTGTTTTCAGCCTTGTATCACCATCACATTATCCTATGGATAAAATCTGTTGTTCAGATGAACTTATAATCTAATTATTTCTGTGACTGCATCTTGCATTAATTTGTAGGACCCTTTACAATAGATAATTCAGCTGATCTGTATATATATCACTCGTCTAAAAAACAGCCCAACAATGTTAGGTATATATATACAAGTCTTAATTGATAACAACGTTCAAACCTTAATATATATATATATATATACAGTCTATGGAAAGCGCGAATCGAGAAAACCGTTTCCTATGTGGAGTAGCGATATTTTCTTTTGTAAACAATATGCATTGTGGGGAAATATCAGACGTATGTTAACATTTGAAGGAATAAAAGAAAATTCATCGGAAAATACTTGTTTTTTTTTTTAAACATAATTGTATTTAACAGGACAAACGTATATAAATATATATACAACTTGCCATGTATTTTGAACATTTTATCCCTTGTATGTTGTAGTTGTACGAGTAAATATGCATTTGTATTTAATAAAACCTATTTGCACGATCTATAATTTTGAGCTGTTCAAATTCTTTGACAATGATGTACTAAAGACAGTGGAATGGCCATTGAACTTAATCGATTGCGTTCTACGCCATATATAATCACTTGTAAAGGGATGATAATTTTATATTTTCTTATATGAGTGCAACGTTTTTCTAATAGAATAGCGATATGCTTTTATTTATGTAAAACGTTTCCAATGCGATATTTTTCTAATAGAAATGCGATACTTTTTTCATATGAATAAAATACGATAATGTGACACAATACATCCAAACAAAGTAGAAACATCGACAATTATTCATGACAGGTTCGATGGTACAAGAAAAATTTCACTGAAATTTCGCAAAGATGATGTACGTACACAAAAAACCAATAATACGCTTATAAAGAAGTAGACACGATGTTCAATATCCCCTTTGCCTCGATCAACTTTGGGTTTTCCAATCAATATTGCACAGTTTTTACCGACTTCCAACTTCCGCTGAAAAAAAAATATTTGGCTAGTGTCAGTCTAGAATAATAAAGTGTTAATACAAATAAATGTATCATCTGTCATATCTATATGTAATTTTAATAGTTAAATGCAATTGTTGCAAAATTAAAATGACAATACTTTGTCAGAGACTATGCAAAAAATTCAAAGCCAATGAAACATGACTGAAGTTGATGGGTGAAATAATCTCCCTGGAAATAAGATATGGTAACGCTGTTACAATGTACAACTGCTTAACAAATATCATTGACCTATTGTAAATGGTTCCCCTTAAACTGACCTAATTACAAACTTTAAATGTAAGCGATGCAAAACTTTGGCAGTCGATGAACCATCGTTCAGGGGGCGAGGCCGTATAATCTCCATAAAAATATGCCAATGCTAATACACATGCATACCAAATATCCATTGACTTATCTTAGTAGTTCCCTT